TCGTGAGTCTGCCTGCAGTGTTCGAATAGATAGTATTTTGAGGTCTGAAATTAAAGTATTATCAGTAATTGATGGAAACCTAATAGATATGAAAATATATAAACTAAGCCTTCTATATAATCAGTTATTATAAAATATTCCAGCAACATTCTTCTACAAAATATCAAATCCCCAACAAGAAGTGTTAAAAACGCCCTCCTTTAACGTAACAAAACTTAGATTCAAGTCTCCCTGTAGCTCAGAGGATAGTCTGAAGGCTTATAATGCTAAATAACGGGCTTCGATACCCGTGGGTGGCAGAACATAAATAGTTCATTGTGTAGCCTTGTACTTAACAAGAAAACATTTTAGACAAAAACTCTAAAGAATTCATCTATCATTCTAAATTCAAGTGTTTTTAATGCATAGAATAAAAAGTTGTCTTGAAAAGAAAAATCACAGAAGTTTGTCATGTTCATAAGTCGAATAAACTTTGTTTGTCGAATAAAGTTTGTCATGTTCATAAGTCGAATAAACTTAAAGAAACCTCAGACGTAATCATCAACAGGCCTAAACGTTACGACATCCAGAAAAAAAACTGAAACTGACACCCATTCTTATCGAAAGAGAAAATTAGCCAGGTGGCATTACGAGTAAAATGACCAGGGTCCTCCTTCCTACAGAATTCCCTCACATGTCATCACAAAAGTCAAATAATCTCAATCTGCACAATGGTGCTGTGAATACCTTAGTACAGAGATCGCTTACTTCAAAACTACATAAGACATTTCAAACTAATTAATTAAAGGAAGTACCCTGTTACCTAAAACTTAAAAATTGCGTATTGTTGCACATTCAGAGTACAACATTTATGACTACGATGTTTTACATGGTTAACTTGGCATCATCAGGCACAACAACTATTAAAAATGGACACTAAAAGATGAAACACCATCAAATATGTAGATTGAGAAAAAAAGATTAATTTTTATTCGTTTTTTTTTTCCTACGCGCAAAGCTACGTGAAGGACATCTGTACTAGCCGCCCCTAGTTTTGAAGTGATAAACTAGAGGGAAAGCAGCTAGCAAACCCTACGCATTGCTAACTTTTGGACTACATTTGTCAGATTTGATCATCGCTTTTATAACGTATCCACGGTCATGAAATGTGAAGCGTGGATTTGTTTGGGGAGGGGGCTAAAGGGGGGCACAAACTATGGACCCTTAACTCCACAATCCGGCACCATACCACTGGACCAAATCATTAAGAGTTGTAGTAAAGTTGTGAATATGCTAATAAACCAACTTTTCATCACACTAGTGGTGTAAGTTCATACAACCGATTTTAAAAGGCTTAAATTAAAGAAATACATAACTACCCTTACAAGTGATTATAGCTATGCCGATTTTTAATAGTTTCAAAGAGTAACGGTGTGTTTATTGATATTCGTGTTCTTTAAAACAATGCACAAAAGAATATCTCTTTTCAGTATATTGAAATTAATCGCTAAAAATGTACAAAGCTAAACATCGGTTTACAGAGAGAGAGAGAAAACTTACGAAAGAAATACAACCGTGCAGAAAAAAAAAAAAGTTGGCGCTTGATGTATAAAAACCCTCTTACGTTTCGAGACGACTTTTAGGACATTGATGAATGGTTATTTCTAAGCGGAATCAGATGTTATTGTAACAAAGTAGCTTCAAATTGAGACGTCTAATACGATAAGACGACAGCTGCAAGTTGTCACTGGAAATCAATAGAAGACCTCTAGTCACATACATGCATGTGGCCTTTAGATGTAATTGGAAGGGTATGGAGGAAATTAGCATGATGGTATGACAGTACGACGACAGCCATACTTATTTGTATGGATGTTATATTTACAATATAATCGTCTGATCGAATGTATATTTACGCCATTTTAGTCACTTTTAGACTGTTTGGGTCCCTGGTTCGAATCCCCGTCACACCAAACATGCTCGCCCTTTTAGCCGTGGAGGCGGTATAATGGGACGGTCAATCCCACTATTCGTTGGTAAAAGAGTAGCCCAAGAGTTGGCGGTGGGTGGTGATGACTAGCTGCCTTCCCTCTAGTCTTACACTGATATATTAGGGACGGCTACCGCAGATAGCCCTCGTGTATTTTTACGTGAAATTCAAAACAAACTGATTGTAGTTAAGCACAAAGCTACACAAAGGGCTGTGCCCACAACGTGTATCGAAATCCGATTTCTAGCCTTATGAGTCCGTAAACATACCGCTGTGCTACTGGAGGGCGGTAGAGTCAGTCTACTCAGTATTGAAGAGCCTACTGGAAAATAAAAGCTTGACAAGATTCTACAGGATTTTATTCCAGATAATCTCACTTACTGTGCTGTTTGTTTAGAGTTGAGTTCTCATAAAAAGAGAAGAAGAAAAAAAGATGCCAAACAACTTTATGTCAAAGGTTCTGGAAACTATGTTTTGCAAAAATTTTGATTTATTGAGAGTAAACAAATTTTGTCTTTTTGTACAGCTCTGAATTTGATTGTTTTTTTTTCTGAATGAATTGCGCATTCTATCCAATTGATTGGTGTATCTAAACAGATTGATTATAAGCGTACAGTTTTGTAAAGTTAATTTATAAGTTAGGTCTATATAAAACTGAAATTATGTAGATGGGTAAAAAAATAACTATCAATTAAATTTTTCTCCTTCCCACATATTTTGGTAAAGAAACTTTATATTGTAGTGGAAGAAAATCGATTTTATTCAATCAACAGTTTACTTACCTCAAATCAAACTTCTGATTACTCTAAAGTAAAAACCTGTCTAGCATTATTCTAATTGATTTAGCTATCAAAATAGCAAATATCATAAAAAGCAGCAAATACAGAAATCTAACAACTAATTAAGCCTATTATTAATTTATAAAATTATTACAAGCTTTTCTACTGTAACAAAAACGCTTTAACTCTAAGACGTTGCATAAAATATTAATATATAGCATTATATAGTAACATAGTTTTTTTTTATAAAGTTCTTGAAAAACGCAAATCAATTACTAAAGCAATATCTCCGACCTATAAGAGCGTTTGAAATTCGAATAACTTAGAAACTTTCGTTATTTTTGGTTCGATTTCTGAATAATTCCTTATAGCATTTTGATACAAGAAAAAAGTTTTGAAAGAAATCTACTTGTTCTCCATTGAGGTTTTCCCAATTAGTTGACAGTGTAGTTCTTCCCAGGTTTCAGTTTTTATGTTTTCCTCTTATAACTGAGGTATCAAATGGGGATCATGGGTGATATTTGCATTTTCTTGCTACTCTACTAACAAATCGAATATTTACTTTGAAATGTTCTGAATTGATATTATTTCGTTTGTTTGTCTGTTTCGTTGGTTATCTGTACTGTGCCCACCACGGGTATCGAAACCCGGTTTCTAGCATTATAAGGCCGATAATATTTTGTAATAAAACAACGAAATCTTTTACGTTATCAGTGATTGATTTTATTAAGCAAATTGGGTTTTTAAGCCTTAGAATATTATTTTGTCATGCTTTTAAATACCGAAACACAAGCCCCCAGTGGCACAGCGGTATGTCTGCGGACTTACAACGCTAGAAACTAGGTTTCGATACCCATGGTGGGCAGAGCACAGATAGCCCATTGTAGTTTCGGTTTGTTTGTAGTCATGCACAAAGCTACCATGTTTATGTAAATAATGTAGGCCTAGTTTTATGAAACTTATTACCATAAGCTATGCAGAATTTATCTTTTCTGTGTGTTACGGAGAAGGGCTCTACGGTATGAATTTAGCCACACCTTACCAAGTGCATTGAAAATTTTGAGTATAATGTTTTATAAAATTGAGATTAATAGAGTACGTGTACATTACTTCAGGAACAAGAATTAGAACTTTGAATTTTTCGATATTATAGGGTTATGGTGATAGACTGTTCTAGTAAACAATGAGACGAGTGAAAAGTCTTAAATTACAAAAATGTTGACTTTGAAAGTAGTACCTTATCTTAGCAATCTCCAGCGAGGAGAGACAAGAAAAATGGTAAACTAAAAATAATCAAACATGTTTCTAGAAATAGCTGAGTTTATAATTGAAGTATCATTATCAAGCAAATACAAAGGTACTCTTTAAAAACAAGGAAATGTTTAATGGTTGATTAATAAATCTTAAACTAGGCTGTCATAAATCTTTAACTTAAAACAAAGAAAGAGAAGAATAGAAACTAAAACTTCAAACATATTATTTTTTAAGGTTTAAGCTTGTGAGTTTTTCAACTCGTTATTAATAGGAAGTTGTTCTAAACAACAAGAAGCTTTTCTACAAAAATCCTATTTTGAACTTATTGTATGTTGAACTTATATATGTATATATATATGTGCTTTTTAATAATTCGATTCGTTGTAATTAAATAACACACGAAAACTTGTCCTATGCTTAAAGAGTAGGAAGAGAATATCAGAGGATTGGTTAACCCTCAAACAGCCGATTTGTTTACATACCGTTCACTGTCGATGGTGCCTACATATTACATCACATTGAATAATTTTATATTTTTGCAGCACTCACCGTATATAACTGAACAAAACTACGGGTTAAATCACTCATCTTCTATGTAAAATACGTAGGGGCTGTCCCCCCAATGGGATAGCGATAAGTTGGCGGAGTTACAACACTGAAATCCGAGATTCGATTCCCCGCGCTGGACATAGCAGACAGCCTAATGTGGCTTTTCTCTAAAAGAAACGAACGATCATACAAACATAAGGGGCTTCAGCAATAATTAGTGCGATCAATTACAATATTGATGATATTTTTGGTTAGTTTTTTGAGTGACTCATAAGTTATTAGGGACCCTAGCTGCTACCAGCAAAATTATTGACTCGCAATAAGTAGTTAATAAACATGGGTATAAAAATGTGTGGAGGTCCTCCATCGGCAATTCTAGGGTTAACCAAATACCTTAGGTATGAACAGAATTTCATCTTTATTGTCAAGTCCGACTGTTTTAAACTTACCTTCATTATTGCTTCCTTCCATACAGTTATAATACCATCTTTAGATTGACTTTTTGTTGTCATCATGATGTCGTTTCAATTTCCTAAATAGGAATAGCACGCTATAATTTTGTCTATTTATTTATAGCATAAAAAAAATCTCTCAAAAGTTTGAACACATTTTTACTGTTTTATCAGCTTGGTGGGGAACCAGTACTCTACCTGTCAATGATGCATGCAAGGCTTAAGAAAGCCATGCAAGAGGTTGTTGATTTACAAACTGAAGCTTATCCAACTAAAATCTCTCACGCTTTGACCACCGCCGAACTGAGATAAATCTATTCAGCTAATAAGTTGGACTAAAATGTTAGTGAAAAGCAGATTTAATGCATTCAGAGCTATCATATCACATGTCGAAGCTCTCCACTTGTCTTGAAGTAAAGCCTGCTAAGTCCGTTTCTGGCTCTACGCATCCACCGACACGAAAGTTGCGCCTGTCCCTGTTTTAAGCTTAACCAGACAATGAAGGCAACAGAAGAGTGTTGCGCCCTAGATAGTTGAATCAAGTTGTAGCACTGAACTTCCGATCCTGTCAGTCTTGCTAAGTCATCTTACAGTGGACGTACAAATGGAAAGTCTGCCATAAGGAATAACACACAGTCAACACTGTCATTTGAGGTTAAACAAACCCTATAAAAAAGAAGAGAAAATTACAGTTGTTCATCAAGAAGGAAGACATTAAGATTGGAATGATTAAAAAAAAAGAAAGTCCATTCAGTAGAAAAGGATGTCCCTAAATTGTACGTCTATATACATAGCTGGTGCTGCCGCTTACACTACCAGTATCATGCTTCGAGAATACTCACTTATTCGGAAAGCAGATGCGCTCTAAACCTCTGACGTTTGTGTACTTATCTCGTGCAGCTACACTGATGGCTATTTATCAGTCAACTTTAATTAGAAAGGGATAGAGAACAGCAAGTACCATAACATTCCTCGACTACAACCTTGTATACAGAGATCTAACAGTGCCTATAGTAAGTGTAAATATCTTTCTTAGATAATAAAACTGTAAAGTGTGCATAATTTTAAAATTTGTTCGTATTTATCAAACTCAGAGAAGTATTTGTAAATTGAATGTTTTAGCGCTTATTTTCGGTAACTGTTATTGAAAAAAAAAGTACAAAAGGTTAGATAGAATGCACAACTAATACTACAGATTCTAAAGACTAAAAAAATGAAAAGAATATTAGATATCCATTAAGAATCGTGACTAAAAATAGGATATTATCAAGTATTAGAAATAAATACATAGGAATACAGCAGCAAGAACGAAAATTGCCTGGTTGATACGATTGGTTTAGAATCGTTACAGAGCAGTTGAACATCATTTTTTGTGCTAGTATATACACATATATATATATTTACATAGTGAAGACAGCACAAGCAGATATACAGAAATTCAAAGACGAAATAAACCCTAATAAGATTAGAATTACGAAGTTTGTTATACAGTGAAAATATTAAAAGTAAATAACCCATAATACGCTATCTACAGTGATCGTAGATGTACTTGGTCCTTGAGTTACGTACATTTCCTTTTGGTTGATTTATCCAAGTAGACGATATGTAACAAACAATGCTAGCTTTTTTTAGTTCCTGTGTATTACATTAATCAATAACGGAAGTGAATTCAATTTTAAGTTATGAATAACATAATAATAAAAATAGAATTATCCTTAACTTAGACACGACTCTAGCTTTTGCTTCAAAAAATGGTTCATGTTTTCACCCACCATGATTTTATCTTATTTTAACCAAAGTTATTAGGTTCTTTATTTTTACTTCAATCACATAATATCATGAGAAGTGTTTTAACTTGCACTTTTTCACGAACTTCACATCTAGGAAGAGAAAAAGAACTTTTCATTATAACATTGTTTTAGAATTGATGAAAAAATAATGATTATTATTCAATCCTCAATGAGTCAATGGTAAGTTTACAAACTTACAACTCTAAAATTCAGTGTTCGATTCCCCGCGGTGGACAGAGCTCAGATTGCATATTTCGTAACTTTACGCTAAAACAAATACATCAAACAATTCATATTACATACTCTGATAAAGGTTTTAGAGCAAGTGGTCATGAAAGAAGATTTCTTCAGGGATCAAAAAATCTATAAAAGCTTAATATATCGATATATTTCTTTGATTATTATATACGACAACAACAACAAAAGAACAAACAATGAAACATTTATTTCCTCAATATTTCTCCTTACGGCTTCATTGGAAGCCTATCGTTAAAAACACTAAGACAATAGAAATATTCGTCTATAACTGTCAGTATAATTTTGATAGATTTTTCTTAGATTATTATGCAGTTACTGAGCTTAGAAGATAACATAAATTATTATTTAACACTGTAGTATATTGGGGGGCCCTGAATGATTATATTATCATTTAAAATAGTTTTCTCAGATTAACAATAATCAATTTTTATAACACTTTTTGTTACCTGGATACTTGAACTGAATCTCTATGAACTTGGCAACATAATTTTTTGTTGTTGTTTAATCGCTTCATGCATGATTAAATAAAAATGAGTGTACTTTTTTAGTTGAATATTTGTTATTATAACTAGTAGTGCGTTCAGTAGTTGGAGCCATAGAGCGCCGTAAAGCAAGAACAGTTTAAAATAAAAACATATATGTATATAAACTATTACGTCTTTAAGCAAAAAGTGCAAAGTTAAGCTATGCGAATAATGTTCCAAGGTAATTTAAGTTGGACGATGTTTCGGATCACCCGTTTTATTGCTAAATGAGCTTTGTAATAGGGTCTCTAAAACAGCTATCATCCCTGTAAAACGGTATTTTCCTATCTACAAGAAAGTATTGCGAATAAAGCTGTCCAACTACTTAAGCACAAGTAAAACAATTCATCTTGAAATTCGACGAATGACTTCTTCTAGTTGTACAGAGCACGGATAAAATGTACATGCAACTGATATTAGTTCCTTCACTGTGTTAATCTATTCCTGCTACGACTAACACATCTGTGTTATTAGGTGTAGCATATGTTAAAGAAAAAATGTATTGGCAATTAAAAACTGGTATTAAAGTCTCTCGAGAAAACTATTAGTTCCTTCACTGTGTTAATCTATTCCTGCTACGACTAACACATCTGTGCTGCATAACCATCCCTGCTACACAAGAGTTATCTGCGCATAGTCATACCTGATTTTGAACTGACAAACTAGAGGGAAGATATCTCGGTAACTGTGCGCACCAAAAACCCTTGGACGACTCTTGTCTGACCGATAGGTGAGATTTGACCCTCACTTTTAATAACGCATCCACGGCCACAAAGTGTGGAACGAGTTTTCCCGCCAATAGCCCGCGAATCGTAAATCTTCAGATTCAGATTTAGACACGTCCAGTAAGTGCCAACATTAAGTTATCCCTCTACCAATAAGTACACAAACAACTTTTTGAAATCCTAACTGTATCAATTACACTAATAAGAAAAATAATAATAGAGTTTTCTCGAGAAACTTTAATACCAGTTTTTAATTGCCAATACATTTTTTCTTTAACATATGCTACACCTAATAACCGCGCATAGTCATCCCTTTTATAAGGAGGGCTATTTTGTGAATATCTACACAAGGACTATCTGCACATAACCATCTTTGTTGCACAACAGTTATCCGCGCATAGTCATCCCTTTTATAACGAGGGTTATCTTTGCATAACCATCCCTGCTACACAACAGTTATCCGCGCATAGTCATCCCTTTTATAACGAGGGCTATTTCTGCATAACCATCCCTGCTACACAACAGTTTTAATTCCGAGCTGTAGCTCTTCAAGGTTAAAAATAGCGCCTTTGTGGATACAAGATTTTTCAAAATTAATTATATACTAAATTAAGCATTTGGTTTTTGGTATTTTCAACCTGAGTGGCACCTTATACAACACACGGGCTAAACGATCAGGTTAAAGACTAAAGCCGCAGCATAGCCGTCCCTAGTTTTGAAGTGTTGGCCAGAGGGGGGGGGGAGCAACCAGACAGCAACACACCGTGTGTTAAATGGCTAATCTTATTAACTGAATAGCAGATTGATTGTCACCTTTATAACGTGTCCACAACTGAAAGTGAAGAGCGTGTTCAGCGACATATCACGGGTTCGAAATGTGGAGCTATTCGCATCCCGACAATCTAACCATAAGGCCACGCCCGGATCATTAAATTGAGCATCTGATTATCAATAACTTCTCATCAAAGCAAGTAAACTATATCGATCAGAATAAAAATCATTTCGTAAATAATTTTACTACTTTTATACACAGGAGTATGTAATGTCATACAACAAGGACTTATAACGTACTGATTCAACAGATGAACACCATCTTCTTATCGAAATTTGCAACCGATTGTGTCGAATTTTAGGTTTATCAGTGGGATACCACACAATATTTCCTCGCACTTTGTGTTATGGATTTGTTATAAGTGTGACAGTATATCCCTTAGTATGGATGATGGGTGGGAGATTGTTGCTGACTGGCTGCCATTCCTCTGGTCATTAGTTCCAAAATAGGGAATGCGATAGATAGTCTTACATAACAGCTTTTCCATAAATACAAACACTCTTCGTTAAGAACGGAATTTGTGAATTTAAATTAGCATTTTGTTTCAGGAATCGCTTAATTATCACTACCACAAAAGATACATTAAGCATGAAAGTTACTACCTAATAAATAAAGCTAGATTCAAGTTTCTCAGGCTCGATGTTTACTCGCCATCACCGAAGTTCGTAGCTCTACCACGGGCCAACTCGCGTCCCCTAACGAAGAGAGATGCACCTTGCGAAAACTGTATTCTTTCTATACTAGTTTTTTGTTCCAAAATAAGTTGCCATCTTTGTAAAGGTAGGTTACTAGGGTTTGTGATTTTATCTTGCAGTTTAAGCTAGAGGAGACGAGTTCAACGTTTCAAACTGACATTAATTTACTGAATTCTCTTCACTTCGGAGTGACATGGAGGAGGATATGTTAGGGAATGTATCTGTTTTTTGTTTTTTTTGTGAGTTTCAAGCACGGGATAACATGTCAGCGTTCAGAGAAATCCAAGTAGCGTGATAACACTTATATTATTACACACTAGTAACATGTCTACACTTCTACAACACATACAAATAGCATGTTTACTCTTATACAACACGCGTGTTGTAGAATTGTAAGCAGGATATTTGTTCATATTATTTGTAGGTGTTGTATAAGTGTCAACATACTATTTGTGCGTGTTGTATAAGTGTAAGCATGCTATTTGTATTTACATTTATACAATACGTACAAATATCACGCTTATATTTGTACAGCACGTAAAAATCACACGCTTCCACTTAAACAAATACGTAGTCAGAATTTAACCGCCTAAAGATAAAACTCCCAGTTATTGTATAATTAATAAAAAATCTGTATTATTAACATGTGGTAGAATTAAAGCAGTGTTTTAGTAGAAGCACACGTTCAAAACAACCAAAATGTGAAACTAATCAGTATAAGAGCAAGGTGACATTAAACGAGAACAGGGTTGCTGTAATCACTGCATTACACAGAACTATATATACATTCAGAGGGCTGATTAGTGATAGCAACGTTATTTTCCTGATGTACTGCAAAATTG